GTTACGGATTATGGATATAATATGAATGTATAATATACTTTCTAAAATTAAAATATCCATTACATTCATATAATCTCTCTTTTGAAACAGAGCCAAAATATTTCAATATAGTAATAAGGAATTAGCATCTGGATTACTAATATTAATAATTATAAAAAATAGTTGATGGCAACTTCCAAATTTAAATTTTACAAAAAAAATAAGTTGATAAATAACATCCAAATTTAATCAATTTCACATTGCAATTTAAATTTACACAATGCAATTACATTATTATTGCATAAAAGTTGAAAGGGTAGGAAAGTGAATAGCTAAAGGAAGGTTTGTTATGTGATTACTTTGTGATTACTTTGGTGAATATTTTCTAAGTTTAATGAATCTAAATATGCAAATATTTTATATGTACTACAAAATGTTACTTGTGTCCTAATCATACATAATGAAAAAACAGAGTTGCTAAGAGGAGCCTTATAGAGTTTTATTTATGTCCACTACTATATTAGATGACAAAAAAAATCTGGTATCTAATTTTCAAAAATTTCATATCCTAATTCTTTCTTAAGATTTCTTTTTACATAAATGAGGAATGTTTGCATTAAATTGTGCTTGATAAATTATATACTTTTACATTCTACAATGAGAGTATATTTAAAATTTCTTTCTAAAAAAAAGAATGTTCCACGGGCATACAAACTCTATGGGAAAGCAAAATCCTCATATAACTGTGCCCATTATTAAAACTCTAGATTTTCAGGGTTTTAGTAATTCATCTATATGATATCATAAAGAATATTTTCATTAATGATAAAATTTTCATTTATGTAGTTGCCATATATTTTCAAATGATAATACCCAATGAAAAGTGGGTACACTCAAAAGGTGACACAAACTTTCAGAGCTCAATTCAAGGACAAGTAATAAAAAGATCTGAAACGTGCACACTCTCAGCTCTACGGTCTCTAATTTGTAACATTTATTCATGGGAATCATCCAGGATTTGTGAAATGACCATCACAAGGATATGTATCCCAGCATTACTTACTTACAGAGAAACATAAATCAAACCTAACTGTCTACTGAGAGGGGGCTGTTAAGTAAACTTTGTTATGGACAAAAGACAGTTTAGACAAGCACAAAAAGCATGTTATAAATGAATAGGCAGCAATACAGGAAAATGCAGGAACTGTAGTGATAGGTTAGGGAAATGATACAACAATTTTTAAGACACAAAGCATCAGTTGTTACCAGTTTCAAATGGCCCTAACTCTACCACTAATTAATCTTTTGATTTCAGTGGCACAATTGATTGAGTGTACAACACTTGGTTTCGGCTCAGGTCGTGATCTGAGGGTGGTGTGACTGAGCTCAGCACAGAGTCCGCTTGGGATTCTCTCTCCTTCTCCCACAGCCCCTCTGCCCCCATGTGTGCACGCACTTACTCTCTATCTCTCTCAAATAAATATTTTTTTAAAAATCTTAGGATTTTGAAATATATATTTATCTGAGTCTCAGATAACTTCTGAAATGATAATTATGAAGATTAACTGAGATGATAAATTTGAAATATTTATAGCAAGAGTCTGATTCATGAATGTACATGCACACAAAATATGTTGGCATAACCTAACTTTTAAAGTAAATATTTTTATAGAAATAGTGGAATGATACACACCAAAAATGTAAATGATGGCTATCCAGATGATGATTTAAACTTTTTCTCATTCTCATTATTTCTTATATCAAACATGTATATTTTGTAAATCAAACAATACATATTACTGTAAAATAGTAAGTACTAAATAAAAAATAAAAGTATATTATATATTGCCAATGATGTCTACCAATTGTTTAAATACACTTTTTAAGTAAAGTAATATTCTTTTCGACCAATTTTATTTATATCCCATGCTTTTATGAAAAAAATCATACCATTCTAAAAGAATCAGATGAATAACCTTTAAGCCATTACATCTTCAATCTTAACATTTGGTTTCTTTTCTATCTGATTCTCAAAGTATCAAAGGTTGCTAATGCAGACAGGTAAATACTTCTGGTTTGCTTGATTTTATTTTTTTCTATTTGTTACATTTGCCGTCTTAACTAAAAATTGAAGAAAAAAATAAAAGTTATATTTGTCTTCATTAATTTTTTACAGACACTAAAGGAATTATACTTGTGTTCAAAATGCTAAAAGCATTTATTCTTCCAGTCAGCTGTATGTGCTGGGTCATTAGACAATGTGAGAAAGCCAGAGAATGCTGTTTTCATCCAACTCTTCTGAATACCAAGATAATGAGACTTCTGGCAAAAATCAGTCTTCTTAGTTGTTCCCGTAGTCAGCATACCAAATAATGTAGTGAATATCAACAATATGTAGGAAACATTGCAAGGAAATTTAACATTACTGAGGTGTGCTACTGGCGATCATACAGCTCCCGAGACAAATATTTTGTTAAACTTTTGCATGTCACCTTTTCCTTTAAAAAATATTAGAACCTTACTTAATTTACTTGATTCATATTTGCATAAGAAAAAATCATCTATTTTGTTTTACTTTATTTTTTTTTTAAAGATTTTACTTATTTATTTGACAGAGAGAGAGAGACACAGCGAGAGAGGGAACACAAGCAGGGGGAGTGGGAGAGGGAGAAGCCGGCTTCCCGCAGAGCAGGGAGCCCGATGCGGGGCTTGATCCCAGGACCCCAGGATCATGACCTGAGCCGAAGGCAGACGCTTAACAACTGAGCCACCCAGGCGCCCCATAGAGCCTGGCCTTTTTATTTTTTTTATTTTTATTTTTTTTAAAGATTTTATTTCTTTATTTGACAGAGAGAGGCACAGCGAGAGAGGGAACACAAGCAGGGGGAGTGGGAGAGGGAGAAGCAGGGAGCCCGATGCGGGGCTCGATCCCAGGACTCTGGGACCATGACCTGTGCCGAAGGCAGACGCTTAATGACTGAGCCACCCAGGCGCCCTAAGATTTTATTTATTTATTTGACAGGGAGAGATAAATAGCAAGAGAGAGAACACAAGCAGGGGGAGTGGGAGAGGGAGAAGCAGGCTTCCCGCAGAGCAGGGAGCCCGATGCAGGACTCGATCCCGGGACTCCAGCATCATGACCTGAGCCGAAGGCAGATGCTTAACAACTGAGCCACTCAGGCGCCCCATTTTGTTTTGCAACTTTAAAGAGCAGGCCTTCTCTCCCGACTCAAATGTCCAACTGCCTCAGCAGCAGTAATAATGGTATTTTAATATGGTACAGAAATGCATGAGATAAACTTATCCAGCATTACACCTGTGATAATGTGAAGACTCAAAGCAAGTATAAGCGGTAACAATGGCTTCAGCACCTTGTACTTACTATTCTACTTCATATTACACTGTGGAGGGAAAAAGGGACAAATAGCTTTTTCTCTCTCTTGTTCTGGATTTTTAAGCCTATCACCCTCCTATATAAAAGTGTCAGTTGGGGTTCTTTTTAAATAAGCTCTATGCCCAATTTGGGGCTTGAACTCATGACCCCGAGATCAAGAGTCGAATGCTCTACCAACTGAGCCAGGCAGGCACCCCTCATTGAATTTTAATTAATCACTGATTATGCTTTGCAAATACTGGATAATATTATTAAGTCTAAAAATTTCAGATTAATGCCACCAGGTGAGAGGTATTTTTAAAAATATATTATTTGTTTTGTGGTATGGGAATACCAGGGTCAGAGAAAGTAAACAGAGACTCTCAAAAATCAAAAACCTCGTATGTATTTTACTTAACAAATGACTATTTTCTAGGACAGAACAATTCAAGTTTTGTCTCTCACTGAGGTCTGTTGATTTGTGTTTGTATATATTCTCAATAATTCAATAATTTCCTTTCATTACTAGCTGTCTTTATAAACATGAGTCAAACTATTGATTCTCTGATCAAAACGGGGGGAAAAAATAATACCCAATATCTTCATCACTTCAGTTTCTACCTCCAATTCCTCTTTCTCTCACGACCCCAATTTTATCATAAAGAGAAAAATCTGACTCCCTGCAAGGAGACAGGCCTATAGTATTTTCGCCCCTCTCTAATAATGAGAACTAAATATAATGGAATGGTTTTGTTACCTGAAGCATTAGGAAAGAACTAAAGTGACTGAATCAGGATTTAATACGTAAATCAAAACACCTCATTCCATAATACTTGAGCAGGTAACGCTACAAGTGAATCCGAAAAGGATATACCAACGTCACTGAGGGCACAGGGGGCAGACTCCAGTCTTTGGTTCATAGGAGCTGAATATTATCCACTTTTTAAACATCAGCTGTACCATACATACGATCTTGCACTTATATAAGCTATCAAGAGTCTTTTGGAGGGGCGCCTGGGTGGCTCCGTTGGTTAAGCGACTGCCTTCGGCTCAGGTCATGATCCTGGAGTCCCTGGATCGAGTCCCCGCATCGGGCTCCCTGCTTGGCAGGGGGTCTGCTTCTCCCTCTGACCCTCCCCCCTCTCATGCTCTCTGTCTCTCATTCTCTCTCTGTCAAATAATAAATAAAATCTTTATTAAAAAAATATAATAAATAAATAAAGTTTCACTGGGCGCCTGGGTGGCTCAGTCGGTTAAGCGTCTGCCTTCGGCTCAGGTCATGATCCTGGAGTCCCTGGATCGAGTCCCACATCGGGCTCCCTGCTCGGCAGGGGGTCTGCTTCTCCCTCTGACCCTCCCCCCTCTCATGTGCTCTCTTTCTCATTCTCTCTCTCTCAAATAAATAAATAAAATCTTTAAAAAAAAAAAAGAGTCTTTTGGAGCTCATTGCTTCTTAAAATGTATACATTATTTTCCTTTTTAAACACTGGCACTAAAGGGGGAAGCAGGAAATTACTATTGTCACACAAACACAGCAAAAGTGTACGTTGCCAGCTCCCTCCGTAATGGACGCCTACTTATGTGGCAAGAAAACACTGGCAGATCATAGGGATAATTCCCACGGGCGTGCGGCTGAGAGGAAAAGTATGGCCTGCCTTGACAGGAACTGCCTTTAAGTCTTTAACCTGTCCTCCTTCCAGGATTTCGTCCGTGTGCCTTCTACGCAGCTGAGAAATGCTTCAGGGAGAGCAGCTGAGGATCCTCTGGGTAACTAGAACACGGTAACTTTTTCTTGGGCAGGCATGAGTACTAATTGCTGCTTCTTAATATGCTGATTTAGCTTCCGACAGCGATGGGGCAATGGGTGTGAAATGTCAGCTAAGAACTAGCTACTACCATTTAGTGAAGAGAAATTTGATCATGGAAGTGCAGCAACATTAAGCAGGCCTCATTTTCCTGGCCAGAAGACGGGCAGACATCTGACATCACTGAAATCAAAGAAAGAGCTATCCCCCTCCAAATTCCCCAAAGATAACATCATTCTCGTTACTATAAAGCTCCAGTGAACAATTTGAGGGCAAAAGAATAACAGCGAATACATGAAACATCTAGAACTTTTATGAGGCATAAAAATTCTAAGAGAGTCATCGCAAGTTCTTTGTATTCTTTTTTTTTTTTTTTTAAAGATTTTATTTATTTGACAGAGAGAGCACAAGCAGAAGGAGAGAGAGGGAGAAGCAGGCTCCCTGCTGAGCAAGGAGCCTGATGTGGGACTCGATCCCAGGACCCTGGGATCATGACCCGGGCTGAAGGCAGCCGCTTAACCGACTGAGCCACCCAGGCGTCCAAGTTCTTTGTATTCTAAAGAAACTCAGCTGGTCTCCATGTTTTACCTTTCCCACTCCTATGATGCCCCTCTCTCTCTCTTTTTCTCTCTCTCCCTCTCTCCACATACCCATCTATTTTAAAGATAAACTGTCACATACAGTGCCTCATTTGGATGTGTCTGGACTCTCTGAAGCTTGACCACTCTCACTTCCCCTACAAATGGAACTTAAGAGTTTATTTGCAGCTTCTAGCAGGGAATCACAGCTACTAAGATACCCCTCACTGAAGACTGAACCTCCTCTTTCCAGGAAGGTTGTCCTCTTTGGCCCAGCATGCATCTTCAGGAGGGGTATACCCCGAGAGAGAGCCGTGAGGGGGGGAAGGGCACACCACCAGCCAACCAGATCAGCCAAATCAACCCTGGTGATCGGTGGGGTGACAAATGTTGGAGCCAGATCTCCCTCACATCCAACTGCTCACTCTCTGTAATTAAATGTTGGTCATTTTAAGTGTATCTTAACTTTAGAACTGCAAGTGATCCACTTAGCTCTGTGTCTTTGCTTATAACCGACCAGTGCTTTAGGAGTTAGTAAAATTTACTTATTGAAATGTCAACTGGTTAGATGAGAGTAATTATCTGCATGGTATTTAAGCACAAGTTTAGAAATAAGAACAATTCTAATCATTTTTTATCTTTTACCACAACTGTATATGTTGTAATATCTAGACCAGAGTTTCCCTAAACCACTCCCAGAATATATTCATTTATGGGCATAAAAGTCCCAGCACAGTATGTGGCTTACAGATACTCTTAAATGGCTCATTTTCCCATATAAGCCCAAGTAATTACACTGAGCTTAATAAAAAAAATAAATAAATAGGATTTTGTAATCTCTGTCTCCATCAGCCGACACCCACATATTTTTACATAAGTACTAAAGAACAAGAGTAGGAAAAAGAGGGGGAGAAGGAGAGAGGAGGAGAAAGAGAAGAAATTATTAAATGGAATAATACATGTAAAATACTCTGCAGAGTATCTGACACATAGTAAGTCAAGGCAGGATGAGGAGAAATGCTGCTATAAAGCCTGGGAGTTAAAGGGATCTGGATTCAAATCCTTGGGCAAAATATCTCCATAAAATAAGGATTATGTTAACACCAAGTCTGAAAGTATGTTGTAAGGATTAAATAAGTAAATGCAAATAAAGTCCTTAGCACAGTGCCTAGTATACAGTTAGCACTTAATAAATTATTGTTATTACTATTATCCTTCTATTTAAAGTGTTATGTAAGGTATTTGTTATTTTTGGAACATTGTAATATTTGAATTTAAAAATGTCATCACTCTCTACTGAGAGATTGTGGGGATTGATTTCATCTCAATGGATACAATTAGCCAAAATACGGTTACTAAATTAAGGCACGAGAAATTTTGATCTTCTAAGTTTAACCAAGCCCATTCGAGAGGGGAAAGTTGATGTGTGCAAAGTCATTTCATGACAATGGACATTTCTGCAAAAGTCAAACTCATTACGATTAACTATAAGCAAAAATGGCTATTGCTCATCCACGTTGTAAAGAAGTCTTCTGAGCACCTAAATATCATACTAGATGATTTAATTCTCTTCCTTTTTAAGAGGTCACGTTATGTTGTTGTACAGGAGGGGAAAATGGCATGGGCAGTAATGTACAGGGCAATAAATTCTCTGTAAGCCCTCTTGTAGAAAATGAGTCATTATGACGTGTTCCTGGACTTTGGAGTCAGCTGACCTGGAATTTCTGAGAAAAGACAGTGCAAACAATCAGAAGCGATTGGACGGTCAGGCAACAAGAGACCAACATTTATAAGAGCAACTGCAATTGGGGAGTAATGAGTCCTGGGACCGAATGAATGAATTAGCCACAGAAGGCACAGTCTTCCGTAACTAACGCCTCGGCTGTCAAGACACAACTTGATTTTTGCTCTTAACTGGGCCTCGATGGTGTCAGTTGCCCTGGAATACAAGGTCTGATGGCTCATGCACAGTGCGGCACGCTGGCTCCCTGCCTGTGGCTGAGATCATGCTGGCGAGATAGAGCAGATGAGCTGGTATGTGTAATCAGCAACTGCAACTCTTAGACCGAGTATTTTTTTTTTAAATAAATCTGGAAGACAGATGTTTGCCCCAGCCAGCCTGTTAATTTTGCACTGATTATGTTGCCAACAACAAAGGCGCTAATCTGTAGAGAACAGTATGAGTTTTTGACGTTATTATAATAATTAAAAATATATCTATCATTCAAAATTAATTCCTGTTTTAGGAACCATAGTTAACTTATTATACAGGGCCAAAGGCAACCTTGTCACTCCCACCTGAGTCTATCAGAAGCCCTGCTATTTAAAAACAAATATAAAAAAGGGGAAGAAGGAAGGAGTAGAAATAAAGATTTCTATTTCCTTAAAAGAAAAGTATAAATGCCCCGTCTGTTTTTTGACTCAACCATTTATATGACTTAATTCTAGTAAAATAAAAATCAAACATTTTTCCATATATAAAGATGTGCTATAAATAGTATTAGTATTGTCTATATGAAAAATATACAAACAGTGTCTCTCAATAGGAGACTGGCTAAATAAACAATATATTAATATAATTAAAATACTACAAAGCTATTGAAAATAATTAAATGCATTTAGTATCCAGTGACATAAACATCTCCATGAAATATTGGTAAATAACACACACACACACACACACACACACTATGGCCTTAAAGGGTAATCACCAAACTGTTAAAAAAAAAAAAAAAAGTCATTTACTCTAGTGGACTCTTAAGAGAATTTTTGTTTTCATCTTACACTATATTTTCATATAGTTTAAATTATTTACAACAAGGATATACTTGTATATTTACCAATATAAGTTTAAAATATATCAGAATCATCTAACATACATATCATCTACCATACAACCCAGAGAGACTAAATAACAGCTCCTGCTGTTGGATCACAGGCAAATGAAAAATGGTTAACTTGCAATTGTACTGTGATTTTTTCTGAGTGCTCCCTTGTAAATTACCATCTTCAATTCCGGCCTCTATGTTTTAAGGAAGTTGGAGAATAAATATTTGATAAGTTCCAGAATACCGTACAAAATGAAAAAGTAATAGGAAACATGTCCATATATAGAGGAAAGCTAAAGAAACCAGGTTCCTTAGGTTACAGAGCTTAGCATATTAAAAGGCATAGGCTTTAAAGAGTCAGAGATACCTGGGTTTAAAACCTCTTCCACTTGGTACTCTTGAGTTAGATAGCTTTGGCCTTCTTAGGTAACACCTCTGATCTTCAGACAGATAATCTGAAGAATATGTGTAAAGAATTTAAAACAATGCCCAGCAATAATGACCATTCAGCAAATAAAAATCATCATTATTTGCTAAGAACACTAAGCTAGGATGAGTCAATGGTCCCTACCACCCTCAACCCTCCCAACACACACACACAAACACAAAATGAGATATTCTTGTAAGGAGAAGGCCAATCGAAATTCAATGCACATAGAAAACAGAAAACAAAATAGCTTTAAATTAGACAAGGACATGGATGTTAGAAATAATTTCTTGAAAAACAAGCTAAGGAACTCTAACAGGGTATTACAACTATGGAAGCTTCCTCACTAAAAATGTTTGAGAAAACAACAACACCCTCCCTAACCTTGGTGCTTTAGACATTCACCTGCCTGACAGGAGAAGGCCTAGAAAAATGAATTCCCCAAATTCCTTCAAGATTTATGGTTCTATGATATTTTAATTAAAATTAATAGGGCTTTCCGTCATTCTAATGGTAGACTGTGTGAGGGGATTTTAAGGAAGGCACAGACAGCTGATCTTTGCAAATGCGGTTCTTGATCTCATAAGCTCTAAAAAATCATTGAGAATAGATTAAAAAAAAAAATCTCATGTATATAAAAAAAAAAAGAAAAGAAAGCTGGGCTGCCTATCTCATAAAGGGTTTCTTCTACCTGAATGGTACTCAGTAAAAGCTAGAAAACGAATTCACCAAAGAAGGTTTAGATTTTATATAATTCTGCGATAGGGTAATACAGGGTTCATGGATAAAAAGATAAAGTAGACATCACTGGATTTAAAAAAACAAAGTTAAGAACATTAAGGAATCAGACCACTACTGGAAGTTCAACTCTATAAAAGGCTAAAATGGTGTTTACAGTAAACACTCCTTGATCAGACTTCCTTCAAATCTATGGCATGCTGTGAAGTTCCATCTACAGATTCTATTATGTGAATCAAAGAGGGTGGCCTTAGATCAGCCCGGTTTCTCTAAATTTATTTTTATGCCAAACATCATACTAGCACATTTAAATCAGAGCAGTTCTATCATGCTGTTGGGACAAGTTTGTAATTTCATAAAACAAAAAGAGAAAGAAAAATGGAATTTTTTTTTTTTTTTTTTGCCTCACTTTGATATAATCTTCTAACAATCGCTATAGGTCTCATAAACTCCCAAGTCACCAGGTAAAGATTGATGACGATCATCCTGGGAACAGCACTGGACAAATCCCATGTCCAGTGTCAGTCCTACCACTAATTGCCTGTGTGCAAGGCTGGCCAGCTTCACGGGTGGGCCACCTGTGCGGTCGGATTGAGCCCTCTGCTCACTCAGGTGGACCCCACCAACTGGTATAACACTCTGGCTGCCGTCTTAAAATTCTTAATCACTTTTTAAGCAGGGCCTCACATTTTCATTTTGTACTGGGCCCCACAAATTACAGTCATTCCTGCCTATATGAGCTTTGCAGGTCACTTCATGCATCAAATTCTCATTTCCTAAATGCAGTCAACAAACCCAACACTCTTTTACACTATGTTTTTCAAGTGCTGCATTCTTAGAGCACATATTGCCTTGTCAAATGGTCAACAGAGTAAGGCTCTTACTGATACTTTAAATATTACTTTCGGATCCTAGGGAATTAAGGCAACTCAAGACTATGGAAATCACATTTCCAAAAGACGTTTCTTTTCCTATAAAGAGACTATAACTGTCGCCTGAAACCTTTCCTTGTTTGAACACTTTCCGTTAAAAAATCAGGTGCACTATACCGTTCATCGTGCTCTGCAAGTTAAAGGGATATTTGGCAACTACCTTTCTTTCAAAAGTGTCTTTGTTTAGACAGTCATTTAGTGAAGACACTACTTCATGGAATGAGGGAGGGAGAAAATACTCTCCCACGAGGCAATTTACAACAGAAAGTATTGTTTCAAAACCCTTCACTGCTAACCTTTAAAGAATGTATTAATCAGCACAGAATACGATAAAAATCAAACCACTGAGCGTGGTAGAGAGCAGCCTCACGGTCACAGGGCATATGGATCTGTTTCCCTCTTAGTGTCAGTTAAGAGGTCCTAAACCCAGCCCTGGATGCCTCACCATCCCTTCTGTTTGGACCCAAATGCCTATCGTTATAATTACATTAGATTTAAAAACCCATAAAGATGCTCCTCAAGTGTGTAACCTGAGAGAGGAAATGTGATGGTATTGCTACAGATTTCCATTTGACACATCAACAAATGGCACCAAGAAATACAGGCATCTCCCATTTAAGCCAGTAATCTGCTTCAGAAAAATCTGATATTTTGAGTGGAAATTCTGATAGTCTATCGTTTATTACGTTGAATGGAAACAAATCCATAGTGTATTGGTATCAATCCACAGCCCCAACCAACTTTTGAAAACCTAAGTAAAACAGTACCATATGCACTTAGCAAATGCCCAAGTACAGTGAAAACTGTAAGAAACTCTTAGAGGAGTGTAAAGTGCTACAAACACTGCTTCCTGATGAAAAGATAAACAGGACTGTTAACAATCAGCCCAGCTTGGCCTCCCAGTACCAACAGAAAGCATGCAGGGCTCCTTGGTTGGCACCTACACAGGATTCTGATGTGCTGCTAATTGCATTTGGAATGTAAATCAAGACTCTACCCAGATATCACATTATTTAAAAAAATACTGAGTCTGGAGGCTCTAAATATAAATAGTTGCCTTATAGGCATCAGCAATAAATAAATAAATAAAACCAAGAAACAAAAATATCTTCCTGAGAAATCGGTCTACTCTGTGAAAATTGGATTTCAAAAATCAAGAGTCATTCTATTTCCAAAACATTAACTGGAAAGACATTCCACAGGTTACGTAGGCCTGTATTTTATTTAGTAGTGAAATTAATGTGCCTGTATTTTATTTAGTAGTGAAATTAATGTTTTAAGTATGTGTTAGATGCTACAGGGCAAACAGAAGAGATGAAGATGCTGACATTACAGTAGTTACATCCAAAGGTACCATGAGACCCCATTAAAGGCATAATGTCACCCTTACAGAGAAACTTAAACTGACTGGACAAATGACATGTAAATATATGTTGGCTAAGATTATTGAGATGTCATTGAGGTGAGAAATATGGTGCACAGAGCTAAAAGCTATGTAACCTAAAAACAAGAATTCAAGCCCAAATATCTCACTCTATGTAAGACTTGGTCAAGACCTTTAATTTTTCTGACTTTCAGGTGAGTTTTCCAATGCACTGTGAAGATTAAACGAGTTAACATAGTAAGTTTTTAAACTAATTAGAGACACACAGGAAACACCAAATATTTTGTAGATATACATAAGTGGTTTTGAATTATTTGCCAAAATTTTTTAATTCTCTGAACTTTCCCTTTCTCATCTGTAAATGAAAACAATTATACCAACTTTGCAGAATATAAATTATGTTAGAAATATATGGGAAGGGGCGCCTGCGTGGCTCAGTTGGTTAAACGACTGCTTTCGGCTCAGGTCATGATCCTGGAGTCCCTGGATCGAGTCCCGCATCAGGCTCCCTGCTCAGCAAGGAGCCTGCTTCTCCCTCTAACCCTCCCCCCTCTCATGTACTCTCTCTCTCTCTCATTCTCGCTCTCTCAAATAAATAAATAAATCTTTAAAAAAAAAAAAAGAAATATATGGGAAGGGCCTAGCAAAGTGTTTGGACCTTAGCAGATATTCATTAAGTGCTAATTATTAATTTGCTCAGCACTATTAAAACTTTAAAAACTCTCACTCTTTTCCATCTAAGTAACCTGCTCACTCACTCATGCCTCAACCTTGCTATCACTAGAACTCTTAATTGCTCGAATTTCCATCATTTACCACAATTTCTTGTTTCTCCAATATTCCCTATAAACTTACACTTTATCCACATAAAAATGTCTACTCTCTTGAACTTGTCATTCTTGACCATCCTAGACCCTGGTTCATGATTTCAAATATTTCAACTACAGCTGACTAATTCTTTTAAGTATACACAATGTATTCTGCCAATCTTCAACCCAAGATGGATTTGACAGTCCTTTCAGCTAATACCACTCACATTGTGCCAAGCCTTGTTACAGAAAGCTAATTTGATTGTGCATATAGCCATTAATATTGAAGGAGTGGGACTCCATATACATACATACATACATACATTCATACATTCATACATACCTACATTCACACATACCAGCAATGTTTTCCTCTCTTTCCTCTGCTTCTTTAAAATGAATTTTCTCTAGATATTCTTCCCTAAAACACACACTAAATCTTGAAAACACCTTCATTTAGACACCAGTTGGCTGGATATACATTTTAATTAAAGGTACCACATTTCACACTTCCTTTTGTAGACAGGGATTACCAAGTGAGATGGACACAGAAATAACAGAATGGGACTTCTGGAAATCTTTTGAGCTACCTACGTCCAGATTTCTTGTTACATGGGAGAAAATAAACCTGCTATCTGTTTAAATCACCCGTTAGTTGGCTTGAGTATTAATCGTATTTGAACACAACTTTAATCCTAACATATTCCCTAACTTTTCCATTCAGCACTGTATATACGACTTTTATACCTAAAAACAATCTCAACTAATCAACTAAAATATCTAATCTAGGTTAAAAATTAAAAGTCTAAGCTTAGCTTAAAATTTATTGGTAGTCCCATTCTCAGCTTGGGACTGGTTCGGGCTGAGAAACTTCAGGAGTTTCAGGTTAAGGAGTGTGGGAGATTTCTATTTCCACTCTCCTGAGCTTTTCCTCCTGATCCCCTCTGGACCCCGCTTACCAGCTCACAGGTGCTGATTTTAGCAACAGCACTATGAGAAGGTGGCAATGGACGGCCCTTTCTTGACTGTAATTACGTGTTGGTCTTCTCTGGGAGTGGCGAATGTTCCACACTGATTTGTTCCCCTCTTAGAGTGCTTTCTGCATTGTTTGAAGTGAGGCAGTTCATACAACTCCAATGCCACACTTCTGGCTACCATTTATAGCCCTACCCCTCAATTCCCATCCAGGAGGGCGCATCTACCCTCTTTCTGCTAAACTGGCTTTCGCACTGGCAGGAAGCCCTACTGGATCAAGTCACAGACCAGCTCTGTCCCATAAGGCCTACCTCTGCTGTGTGTGAGCTTATACCCAAGGAAGCCACCTTTCATGGCTCAGCCACCAGGCCTCAGCACTTCATTTTTTAGCATCTGGAGGTATGTATCAAATCCAAATAAATAAAAGTAATTTCAGCTTTGCAAAACAAATAGTAGACTACCTGGTCCCCTTACCACTCAGAGTCAAAGGGATATTTATAAGCAATCTGAGTAATCCTCACAAAGACATTTATACTAACATTAAAGAGAAGAGTAAGCACACTTTTCTTCTGGGAACACAGAAATAGCACAACATTCCCTACTTTTTCCAAAGTAATTTCTGTCGTTCTCGTCAATCTGGATAAATTTATAACTGCAAGATAAATTTTGGACTAATGGTCAAAACACACACACACATGTTTCCGAAAGCTCTTTCAAATTCATACGCAGCTTAGGACCTCATTTTTAGAATATGAAGGTATTTTATGCCTTCTGTTTTTTCTCAATGTTAGGAAGGCTCTAGGTTTTATTTATCAGCCATTTCATTTACCCACAACAGACTCTTTTCACTTTTTCTTACTTTGATCTCCCAAGTCTTTAGCATGGTCCTGAAGATCCCACAGCCCCTTCATTCTTTGTATAAAATATTAACTTCTACTTTACCAAGAGAGAAGTAGTCATCCAGTATGACTTTCAGATTTTCTGTACCTGCAAAGTCCTTATTCATATATAATATCCCTTTGGTCTCAAGTGAAAAATACCATATCTTTTCAAAGATAAATCGCATGACTCTGATCTTCTCTGTGCCTGCTTTTTCGGAATCAGTCTTCAACATTCAGACTTTTTTCTTATTTTGTGATGTCATAGGTTCCTTCCCTTCTGTCTATAAACTGCTTATGTGCCCTCCATTCTCAAAAACAAACAGAAAAGAAAAATAGTCTTTAATACTACTCCGTGTTTCTCTTGCACCGTGCTACCAAATTCCATGAAAACACAAATTTCTTGACAATTTCTCACAACCTAATCACTTTTTACCAGTGTAGTCTTTATTCTACTCCAGTACATTTTAATGAATCTGTTCGCACACAAGTAAGCCAGTGACTCCTAATACCCAAATACAATATATTTTTTATTCTTCTTTGAGTCTATAAAGAATTTCCCATTTCCTCCTGTGTCTCTTTACCACTTTCCTGGGCCCAATTTTCTGAAATTTCTTCCTATACCTCCAAGTTAAAATCTCTAGAGATAAAGGCCAGGAATCTGCGTTTTAGCAAACCCTAGAGGCATTTCTCACAAACATGAGAGAGACAGAACTATGGGTTTAGGAACTAAAGAAACATTAGAAAAAACCAAACAAACAATTTGATTAAACAACAATAATCTAATCCTTCCAGAAGAAGGACCCTACTTTAAAAGAGTCACTGAAAACATTTGTCATTTTCTTCTTTTCATTATCTAATCATAAGCTCAATATCAAGGTTGAAAAAAGAGTTGGGCATATTACGGTATTTAAATATAATTTAATTATAATAAATTGGAGTAGTTTTAATTAAAGTTGCCAGAACACCAGAGGGAGACAGGATACACCATAACTGGAAAAGTGTCACTACAGAAATTCAGTTATTATAATCATGATCCTATTTTCTTTAAGCAAAATGTCTGGAAACCTTCATTTACTCAGATCTCCTTGGCTGTGCAAGTTGATGAACTACAAGACCAGTGATTTCATTCACCTCCATCTTTCAGAAGGCACCACTAGAAGCTGGATCATTTTGCTGAAGAGCTTTCTCCAATGAACTATTCACATACAGTTGCAGATTTTCAGCCTAGAGCAGGTTGGTAACAATGTTAAATGATTATTGTGGTTCTGGGTGGGGTTTTTTTGGAGGTTTGGGGGTCTTCTTCTCGAGGGGGTTGTTGCTTGCAAACACTCTTTGGAGTCTGTTTTAGAATAATTCAATAATGTCAGCAATTAATAATGTTAATGTTGATTAATGTTAATAATCATCACATTGAGCCATTTTCTGAGACATAGATGTAACAAGTGCCAGAAAAATAGTCATTTAGCAGGTGATTTTGGAAATAAAATGGTTGAAATTAACTAATGATGTAATGTATGGTGATTAACATAAAACAATAAAATTTTTTAAAAATGGTTGAAATTACTACTGTGGGCTTACAGGGGGAAAAAAACTGTAGACAGATATCCTAAAATTGAATTCCACCACTACCTCATGTTACCTGGACAAGACACTGGTCTTGTCTGAGTTTCCTCATTTATAAAACAAGAATAAGTAGATGTTTAATGTGCCTACTTCACAGGCTTTCTGTTAGAGCCTAACGAATATCAATCATCAGAAACATGTTTTTATATGGTCATAAAGACAAAACAAAACAAAAACAAAACTATTTAAGTGCAAAACTCTGTTTTGCTTTTATAAAACACATAGTTTTAGGGCAAAGGCAACTAAAACTTTTTATTTTGATTTCTCTTTCAGCTCTAGGCCTGGTTGAAGGAACAGATAAAAAGACCACAGCATAAAATGAGTGTGAATAAAATGTCAAAATCAATGCTGAAATTGAAAAAAAGAAAATCTTGGTGGGAATAGTTTAGAGTCAAACTACAAACAAATGCAAGATAAACAAAAAGCAATAAAATTAGTTTTAGATCAACAAGCTGTTGATTTAAAATGTAAGGTTCAAAACCATAAAATCTGTGTACATGCACGCATAATAAAATATATCGCAGATATTGAAAAGTAATCATTCCACTAAACAGAAGGAAGGCAGGAAAGAAAGAAGAAAGGAAGGAAGGAAGAAAAAAAACTCCAGCTGTTCATTTTCTTTAAAAAAAAAAAAAACAGGGCGCCTGGGTGGCTCAGATGGTTAAGTGTCTGCCTTCGGCTCAGGTCATGATCCTGGAGTCCCGGGATCGAGTCCCGCATCGGGCTCCCTGCTCAGCGGGGAGTCTGCTTCTCCCTCTGACCCTCCCCCCTCTCATGCTGTTTCTCTCTCGCTCGCTCCCTAAAAAATAAAATATTTAAAAAAAATAAAATAAAAATAAAAAAACAAAACAAAACTGAATTATCAACCTAAACTGGCAATTTCTTTAGTAGATGTGTGAGTAAACAACCAATTCAAGTTACTTCTTCATCTTAGGTTGCTAATCTTGATACTGTAGAAGAGCAGAGGTTTAAAATTTTCTCACATTCAAATAAAAAAGAAAAATTATTCAATACTGTATATTTTACTTCATTGAGTCATTTTTTGAAGAGGGCTAATTGACATAGGAGTCATTTAAATAAATTCATAGCCTTCCAGAATATTCTATCAACTGGAATATCCAATTCTTTTCTTTTTTTTTTACTAATCCATTAAAGATTTTATTTACTTATTTATTTTTTCTATCTTAGGATTTTTTCCTTTTATTTTTTAATTTAAATTCAATTAATTAACATATAATGTATTATTAGTTTCAGAGATAGAGTTCAGTGACTCATCAGTCTTATATAATAACCATTGCTCATTACATCACATGCCCTCCTTAATGCCGATCACCCAGTTACCCCATCCTGCCACCCCATTCCCCTCCAGCAACCCTCAGTTTGTTTCCTATGGTTAAGAGTCTCTTACGGTTTGTCTCCCTCTCTGATCTCCTCTTGTTTCATTTTTCCCTCCCTTCCCCTATGATCCCCTGTTTTGTTTCTTAAATTCCACAAATGAGTGAGGTCATATAATAATTGTCTTTCTCTGACTGACTTATTTCGCTTAGCATAATACCCTCTAGTTCCATCCACGTCGTTGCAAATGGCGAGATTTCATTTTTTGATGGCTGAGTAGTATTCCATTGTATATATATACACACTACATCTTCTTTATCCATTCATCTGTTGATGGACACCTAGGCTCTTTCCATAGTTTGGCTACAGTGGACATTGCTGCTATAAACATTGGGGTACAGGTGCCCCTCTGTATCACTACGTTTGTATTTTGAGTGGGTAAATACCTAGTAGTGCAATTCTTTTTTATTGTTATGTTAATCGCCATACATTACATCATTAGTTTTTGATATGGTGTTCCATGATTCACTGTTTGCATATAACACCCAGTGCTCCATTCAGTATGTGCCCTCTTTAATACCCATCACCAGGCTAACTCATCTGCCCACCCCCCGCCCCTCTAGAACCCTCAGTTTGTTTCTCAGAGTCCATAGTCGCTCATGGTTCATCTAGTAGTGCAATTCTTAATCAATCTGAATGAACAGTAATTTATAGTATACTCCCTAGCCTTCATTTCTTCCTCTTTATGATTATATACTTTTTTCAGGCCAAAGGATATATGTGTATAGTAGGTAAGAATGCAGATCTCAAAGTCTGACACACCTGAATTTGAATGCTCTTCCACTCTTGCTAATTCAAAGTATAGTTTTTACACCGGAAATATCAGTATCACCTGGGAGCTTATTAGAAATGTAGTATCTCTCGCCAGGTCCACTGAATAAGCTTGTACATTTTACAAAAGCCACAGGTGAACTAACACTCATTAAAATTTAAGAAGTACTGACATACATTAGTTATTAGATAAATATCCTTGAGCAAGTTAGAGGATTTCTCAAAGACCCAGTTTTCTCATTGAAAAAATGACACTAATAATGATGTCAAGAGCTTAGTATTATTATGAGAAATAATTAAATAACGCTACTTAGTAAATACTCATAAGGTCTAACTGGTATTAAATCTTATCTACCTCAAATTTGTACATTCACGATTTCTTCCAGTATATTTACTTGTGGAATTACATTGGCATCCCACCCAGATAAATTAAATTCTTTTAGTCAAGAAGTCACCCTGAGAATAAGCCTACAACAAAAATAGAAGTTAATTAATAATGCCATCTTGCATTCATTTATAGCACAATGTAGCACCTGTTTTTCAATTCGCCTCAAAACATTTCCCTTTGAAATAATGTGTTTTCTGTTTCTGTAGAGTCAAAAAAGTTAAAGAATTTGGTCTGAAAACAAACATGACTCTCCCTCCCTGACATATAATCTAACTAATTCCACATTTAATTAGTCATTGTGATTTCTGTATTCTGCCATTCATACATTTAGGATAGTCACTGATCCCCCATAGGACTCAAATAATGTACTAGGTGTCTAGAGCTTCAATTCCAAATGATAAAAAAGAAAGTCTCAATAGACCCCATTTTAATCCAATTAAGGCAAGATACATCATATTTCATTCTGTGATCATTTTTCATGGGACTCTGATGTCCGGATTATCTACTTCTTACATTTGAAGGAAAAAGGTAAGCTGATAAAAATTAATAAAATTAGAATCATTTTCCGTTGTCATTGAGTGAATATTAATCACTTAAGTAGAAAGTACATATCATATTTTTATTAAACTTTTATTGAAAACACACTTTACGTTTGTAAATGATGCATAAAAATGGTATTCACATACCCAAAATTGAAGAGAAGAATGCTTTGAATCTTTCAGTAATGAAAACTTATTTTAGTATGGATAACTCATGTATATATTTCTTAAAAATTAAATGTTTCAACTTCTGGCAATATAGCATTTCAAATAGTACAAAGAACTCTCCTTTTACGTTGTACAAGATCTTGTTGTACAAGATCCTGGATATTTTAAGAAACAAAAGGATTTATAAGTGCCAAAAAAGCAGGCAAAATATCTGAATGCCAAGATATATATAAAATACAGTAAGCTAAAAATCTGAACTGTGAGTGATAAGTAAACAGGACATTCAGAGTTGTCCTGGGACAAATTCTTGTAACAGTGCTGTGATTTGTAGACTAAGACAAGCTAAACATAAGGTCTAGCACTATATCTAACAAAAGATGTACAGAAACTTTACAAAGAAATTTTAAAATATTATTGAATAGAATAAAGACTTGCTCAATGGCAAGAATAGAAGGACAAAATATCATAATGATATCAATCTTCCCAATTTGGTCTGAATCAATGCATTACCAATCAAAATCCCAGCAAAGATTTTCTTGGATAATGACATGCTGAATCTAAAACTTAGATTACATGTGAAGGTTCAAGAATACTCAAGATCCTTCTGAAGAATATGGTGAGCAACTGGGCCTGCCAGAAATTGAGCTTGATAACTGGAGCTCACTGGGGTAATGCAAGCTAATACATGGCCCCAGGAAAACTGGTTAGAAAAACATTTAATTTAAAGTGCAACCTAACACTAATACTGACATTAGTCGCAGGTAGATTAAATAAATCTGAAAGACACAGAACTTTTTAGAATAAAATTTGTAAGAAATGTTTACAATCTCAGGATAGGGAAGGATTTCTTAAAACACACACCCTGAAATACTAATAACTTTTTTTTTACTAATAACTTTTAAAAGGCGACTGTGACTACATTAAAATTAAGAGCGTATTTTATCAAAATACACCATCAGGACAATGAAAAGACAAGTCACAAGCAAGACACAAAAAGATATTTGCATTACACAGAACTTAAATGAGTTACCATCAAGAATACATAAGCTACAAATCAATTTAAAAAATTAAAATGTGCAAAAGATCTGAACAGATATTTCACTGAAGAAACAAAAATCATGAATGGATATAAAATAAGATGTCTGCCTCATTACTAAGAAGTAGAGGTTCTGCTTTACATCCATTTGATGGCCTACAATTAAGAAGTCTGACATGGCCATTTATTGGCCAGAATATGGATCAATGGGGACTCATATAAAGCTGGTGGAGGTATAAACTGATACAACAATTTTGGAAAACAATTTTCATACTTTGTGAGTACCCTACAGTCTATTAATTCTCCTATCATGTATATAACGCCCTACAGGTATCCCTGCATTTATGTACCAGGAGACTTGTTCAAGAAAACTCAGCAGCAGTATTCATAGTAACACTCATCTGGAGATAATTCAAATAATAATTTGCCAACAGAGAATAAGTGAACCAATTGAGATATGTCCTCATAAAATAATTTTTAACTGTGAATAAGAGTGAATTAAAGCTACGTGCAAACACCCAGATAAATCACACACACGTAACGTTGAGGGAAGAAAGCAGGTCGCCAATGGTTACCTACACTACAACATGATTTTAATAAATCTGAAAAACAAGCAAACTAACAACCACCATGTTTCACAAAACATTTATGTGAGGTACATCTATTTTCAAAAAGAAAACAAATGAGCAACCAAATATCTAGCGTTTTGGCCACCTCTGACAGGAAGGCAGGGTGAGAGCAAAGGAGACGATTACAAAGGCAGCTTGAAGGTTGCTGGCAATATTCGTGGGTTTTACGTTGTATCATAGATTTAAACATGATTAATATGCCTCATAACTTACATATGGATAAAGAGACGTATGTACCAATTAAATACACTGTTCCTATGTTATAAAATCACCTAACATAAAAAATAAACTAATAATTAGAAATACACTGATTATTTTGGGTTCCACAATTTAACTGAGGTCTCTCACCTTTTATGAACATGTTACATGGACATCGTTTCCAAGGTAAAGGAAGCATACTAAAGAAAATAAAGTATGAAAAATAAACAAGTAATGGGAAATAATAAAATGAGCAGATCCAATTTAAACTCACCACCAGAGCTTTAGATCTATTGCTTAGAAGTTTCTCAATATCCCTGGCTGCAATTTCCACCAGCTGCCGTGCATTATTTGGTTCCACAGTATACAAATCCTGATACTTCTCATAAATCTGCATGAAGAGAAAAGAAAATTAATAAGAATAATTGCTTATATGGTTCATAAGTTCACGGTAGGATGTATTTTAAACCATAAACAATGATTAGAAAAAGACCCACTCTTTCCTTTCTTCATTTCGATCTTTTTGGAATTTGGATGTGTCAAAAATACATATGTGTAAATAAAAATTCACCAAAAGACCACCAGCTAGCCAAAACAGCATGCCATGTGAACAGGCTGTAAAATATCTTGTAGCACAATGATCTGTGTATGCAATTTTTTTAAAGGATTTTTTTTTTAAGATTTTATTTATTTATCTGACAGAGAGAGAGTACAAGCAGGGGGAGCGGCAGAGGGAGAGGGAGAAGCAGGCTCCCCGCTGAGCAGCTGAGCAGGGAGCCCGATGCAGGACTTGATCCACCTGAGCTGAAGGCAAACACTTAACCAACTGAGCCACCCAGGTGACCCTCAAGTAACTTTTTTTTTAAGATTTTATTTATTTGACAGAGAGAGAAGGAACACAAGCAGGTGGAGCGGGAGAGGGAGAAGCAGGCTTCCCGCCGAGCAGGGAGCCCAATGCGGGGCTCGATCCCCCGACCCTGGGATCATGACCTGAGCCAAAGGCAGACGCTTAACCGACTGAGTCACACGGGCAGCCCTGTGTATGCAATTTGTGACTTGAAATTGTACCTCCCTGAATTCAAAACCTGGTATTAACTGCCATCGGGTTTTTTTGGTTTTTGTTTTTTGTTTTAAAAGAAAGGCCATGCTAGAAAACAGTAGGACGGAAGCATGGCAGGTCAGACTTGTGCAGTGAACCAAGGTAGGAGGAAGGGGAAGGAGCAAGGATGTATTGAAGGATACTTCCCATGGTTATCCCTAGCTACAATCACTGAGATTAAAGCGTATGCTGCTAAACCTTATGAAGAGAGGGAGAGGGAGAGAGAGAAGAGAGAGGGGCAGGGAGAGAGGGAGAGGGAGAGCAAGAGAAAAAGAGAATGAAGCCCCTGCTAAGGTTCATCCATGTAACACAGAGAGCTTTATGACACAGAGGGGTTGAAGGTCACTGAGGTCTACATTAAAGTTCGGTTAAATAAATTTGTAATAGTGTAAATATTTTTCATTAGCAAACTGAATCTTTGGGGTTTTGTTTTCTTTGAATCACTGAATCAAACTATGCTGAAAGTAAGCTAGGCAGCAAAAGAAGCCTATAATTTTGCCTCACATCAGTGTCTACAGAAGGATTTCCCTGGAGTGGCATCAGATGCACCCGTTTTGCAGAGCCCGCACACTCCTGGTGGGGTGGGGGGGGGGAGAATTAAAGAATGTGGGGTGAGGGGAAAGAGCGACCATGCTTGTGGCTACAGGGCTGAGCCGAGTAGGAAATCCCTTATGCATCCAACAGATGGGTTGCACATGCATGACTAAACCATCTTTGAAAGCCAGGGCCTGGCAGGTTTTTACCGTCTTTGGAGAAGTGAATCCAGGCACATGCAGGAACCAGTTTAACCCTGCTTTTTCTGGCAGAACTCCAGCTTTCTGCAATACTACCAACAGGTCCTACAGCCCAGTTCCAGCTGACCACGGATGCTTCTGGTAAACACGGGTTTCAAATATACACAGATGCGTTTGCTACCATTTCTTTGTAACCGGACACGTTGGTTTTACATCGTTTTCATTTTTTTAAGTGACTCAAAAGTAATCATTTTAAACGATTTAAATCAAGCTTTGACTCCTAAATTTTTTGACTTATTCAAACTATGAGGTTTTTCTCATAGTCTAAATTTTGACCCTGTAGGTTTATCATCCCAACTATTCAAGGCACGGTCATCTAGTCATATAAAATCCCCATATTCAGTTTTATTTGGGATTCCTGTGTATTACTGGATTGCTTACACTTTCTGCTGAGGGGCAGATTACTGAGTCCTATTTTAAAGACCAGGTTGTCCATGAACAACTCCATCCAGCCCAAGGCTCTCTCTTTCATTTTAGCCTAAGATGACATGCAGGAACATGAATTCCTGAAAAGATTAATTGATTTGGGGTACAAACAGATAAACCTCAACATCACTGTAATTGATCCAGGACATTTAGTTCTTTGCAGTAAAACCGATAAAGCTAATTGGAGCGAAAGGCAGGTGTGCTCTGCGCTATTAATATCGTGTTCACTTCTGTATGAAGTCTGACCTTCTTCCTGTGGTATAGGGACTATAACAGAATTCAGAGTTGGTAGAGATCAGTTCCAAATATATAATTTGTACTTTGCATTATGTACTAAACATAATGTCACTTATTAAGTCACTACCTACAAATGCCAGATTTATTGCAAGTTCTTTAAAGAAGAAATGGGTTATGAATCAGAAACAATTCAGTTCAAGTATATGCAGATCCTCTCAAATATATACAGAATATTCTCTCAAATTGATTCTAGGGTAATTTTTTAATGCTTAGAAAATTAAAAAAAAAGACAGTACCTAATTCACAAATAAACTTTAAATAAATGAAGTTAAGGAAACTTACATCTACAGTCCCAATACAAATTTCCTGTTGTACTTTGTAAGGTATAAAACCACATATGAAATGTTTCTTGGTAATAAAAATGAATTAAAACCATATAACTGCCCCACCAAAAGAACTAGTTTTTGCTTCTGTTTTTTTTTTTTTTTTTAAGATTTTATTATTTATTCATTTGAGAAAGAGAGAAAGAGAGAGCACAAGCAGGGGGAGGGGCAGAGGGAGAAGCAGACTCCCCGCTGAGCAGGGAGCCCCATGCGGGGCTCGATCCCAGGACCTGGAGATCATGACCTGAGCCTACGGCAAACGTTTAACCACCTGAGCCACCCAGGCTCCCCTTGCTTCTGGTTTTAAAGAATATAATATTCTTTGTTGCTGCAAGAGGTACTGCAAAGGCTCTCAAAAAGTCTCCTGGTATATGTTTAGTAAAAGTTTTCAGAGGAGAAGGGCTCAAGTGGATTTTTAAGATTATATGATATATTTTTACAAAGTACATATATTGATAATTCTTCCAGCCACAAAATAAACCCCATTTCTAAAATATTTAACATGTTAACATGGTTTTTTAAAACAGAACCTTAAGAATATTCCGTTTTCTCTTCCTAGTCCTTTTTTTTTAAGACTTTATTTGAGAGAGAGAGAGAGCACACAAGCAGGGAGAGAGGCAGAGGGAGAAGGAGAAACAGGCTCCCCACTGAGCAGGGAGCCCAACGCGGGGCTCAATCTCAGGATCTCAGGATCATGACCTGAGCCAAAGGCAGATGCTTAACTAACTGAGCCACCCAGGTGTCCCTTTTTTTCCTTTTTAAAAAAATAATAGTCTGTTTTACCATTTTATCTCATCTCTTTCCAGAAAAAAATAAATAAAACAAAAGAACACTGTGAAAATAATATGAGTTTCTGATACCAGACAGAGCTCCATGCAAATCATATGTCAATTCCTCTTGCACTGTGTGACGCTGGCTTGCATTTCTTCTACTAGAAAGAGTGTAGCACATAATGAGAATCCTAGATGGGACGTTTTTCCTCCTGAATGATACACTCATATGCTTTAATTTTTCTGCAGTTCAAATCCTCTCACTTCCGTCCTTGCCACAAGTTTTGACAGAAAGAATATCTGTCACCTGTCCATTCTTGCTTTCTTACAATCTTAATTAAATGGCTTTAATGACCATTCACTATTACATTCATAAACAACAGAGAATATATTGTCCCTTCCTTTTTCCACTGGAATCCTCTAAGTCTCTTGGCTCCAAGTCCATAGTTCCAAGATAATCTTCAGAATGATACATTTAAAAATAACCTCAAGTGTAATATTTAAAAAGTGACACCACTCATTGATATAACTGCTTCATAAACATACCTAAAGAACTAGTTCAGAAATCATAATACTATTATACCATGGAATAACACAGATAACCCAGAGTAAGACCAGCTTCCAAGTTTTGGATGACCTAGAAGATTGTATTAGCAATCACTTTCAGGCTTCTACTCTATACCACTCTGAGGTGTTTCAGATACATTATATCATTTACTCACTTTAAGAAACCTGAAAAATACATTTAATTAACCATTGCATTAATGCGAATACTGAAACTCAGGCTTTGGAGTATCAGAGTGAAGGCAGTTTGGGTCCCATTTCACATCGTAAAGGAGCAAACCACTGCCCAAAGCAGCCAAAGATAAAATGGTAACATGGCATGTTTAGGCCAAGTGGATCTGCAATACCACTCTGCCCGGGATCTCCCTTGGCTTTAGCAGGATGTGGAGAAATAGGAAGGGCCACTGGGATGAACAAGAAAGGTAGTTCAGAATTAATCAGTCTGCCAGGAGACTGCGTCAGTGAAGAATCAAGGGAATTTCAATGCAGTGCTTGAGAGATGGAAAGTGGGGAGCGGAGTTTCAGCTGAAGGATGACGTTGCAAACCACCCAGAGCTGAGGGGCCTTAAGGAGGCTGAAGATATTGGCCAAGTTCTTAATAGCATTCATCTTCAATATCTATGCCAAGAGCACAGAAAAGAGCGAATATACCACACATCTTGTCACATGTCACCCAGATGCCAAGTAGCAAAGTTAAGAACATTAGAGATTATTGGAAGGGAGTTGGGACGGAAACCTGGACATTCTGAGACTAAGTTTTCTCCCCCAGACGGGGAGATAATGGCAGCTCTTAAATAAGTTAAGTTCCCTAAGGAGAAACAAATTTCTTCATATTAAGTCTTAAATATGTAAATTTTGACAACCCCTTCCCTCCCATGGAACTCATCCTGAATAGGCAATCCAGATTTTTGCCATGCCCACAGTCATCTTTCTGAGACAAGTTTTCCTTTTGACAGTCCCTGATGAATGAAGAGTCCTACACATTTCCTTAAAAATGGGTAGCAATATTCTAATGTATGACCTTGACCTTGGCCCCTGACTAATTGCATCAGGACATACCAGATCTAGAAGCAGCTAACTTCTGACTCAATGGCCTGTAAACAGGTACAAAAGATTTG